AACCCTATATAAACCCTAAACGCTAAACCCAAACTTGTGCAAAAAATGCCAAACCGAAACGAACCCATCGGCCCTCCACAGCGCCAAACCCCCAGCCTGGCAGTGATACCCGGTCAAGGATAGAGTTCAGGGTTTCGGGTTTTGGGCTGTCAACTATACTGAACTTAGACCCCTAGCAAAAATTATAATTTTAGCTGCTCCTTAGGGTTTATAGTAACCAAAGATTAAAAATTATTTCTAAGTACCCCTAAGTACAAGGTCTGGGAGTTTAGGACAACATCCTGTAGACAAGCCTCGACTCCACGTCCACGTCAATTTTGGGAGACAGCACGAGCTTCCCATGGAGCTGGTAGAACAAGAATAGAACACTGGTAGATGCAAACACAATAACACATGAAATAGCCCACAAATTATCCCAGGGACTCTCAACTAAGGACCTAAGCCCTAAACCCTAGGTCAGAAGTTGAGCAACGTTCTCAAAATTCAAGATTCGTCAGATGAGCCCAAAGGCTGAAAGTCGTGTATCCGACATAGGGTTAGGGTTTAGAGCTCAGGCTTTACGGGGCTTGCACTTCGGCTTTTCTCAAAGGAAACTAAAGGTGGGAGTTTAGGGTATATAGGGCTCCTATAAGGCTTCCGTAAAGTATATAGACCTTCTATAAGGCTCCTATAACGGTAACGACCCATCTGAAAATGTCCTAGATATAATGCATAAAACGAAAAACTGGAGGATGTCCTCCTCGGAGCTTACTTCGTAGACCTCGGGGGGTCACGGCTTTGAGACCCTGTGCCTGTCCTGACTGCGTCTTCACGTTGAAGGTGCGATGTGCCTCCTTGTTCACCAGTGGCTCTCCAGGAATCGTCACAAAGTCCTCTTGAGATCTTTTGGGCGGGCGTGGCGAGGTGCAAGTTTTGGGTTCAGCATAATATGGGTTGGGAGTATCTGTGATAATTTCAAAATTTCTCGCATATCCTATCCCCGAGAACCATTTACAACAAAAACAAAAAGCTATAACTGTGCGGACTATATATACCCTATCTAGCTGTGAAAGCGCCTATACTTGGAGGTGAATGGGACTTACTAAGTACAGTTACAAGTGCCTTAATTGGGGGTTATAAGTAATCTCTAGGGTTTTAGAGTTTTAGGGCTTTTAGAGTTCAAGGTTTTAGGGTTTAGGGCTTAGGGCTTTAGGGTTTCTGGTTTAGGATTTTAGGATTTAGGTTTTAGGGTTTAGGGTTTGCCAGTTGCTTCGAGAAGACATGGGAACCCACGACACGGTTCAGGGGTTAGAGCTTTAGGGGCTTAGGGGTTTAGGGTTTCGCGCTTCGTGTAGCCCTGCACCCTAAAGCCCTAAAGCCCAACCCTGAAAGCTCATGACGGCCAGGTCATCCTTAGGGTTCGTGTCGGGAGGTGGCTTGTGTTTGGATCCCACGCGCAGGGAATACTAAACCTGCAAGGAGGCTTTATAGACCCTGCAGGCCTGTAGCTGAAGGGAGGTAAAAAAAAAAAAAAAAACAGGAGCCCTAAACCCTAAACCCTAAAGCCCTAAACCCTGAAGCCGAAACCCAA